CTCTTTTTTTCTATTCTCATGTAGGTCACTTCTTGAGCTGAAAGCCTGCCTTGCCACAAAATACTATTCGCTAATTTAAAAAAAACCCCACAAACTAACAATGGATTACAAGAATTTAAGATGCATAAAAATGTTCGTTAACAACTCTGGGCATCTAAATGGTGCATTTGTAGCGACACAAAATGAAATAAATGCAGCATAACTGCATTTTTTATTTCTCTAGCTAAGCTCTTTTCACCAAAACAGTAGGACTTGTCTGTTTTGTGAATTCCAAAAATATGTAAATTTTGCAACAAAAGCAAGCTAATGAACAATAAAAGGAAATTGACAAATATTATCTTGTTTTCTCCTGATTTTCAGCTTGTCTGACAAACTGCCCATGAAGCTCATCAGCTAAACTGCTATTTAACAGAAGGAATAGCTGGTATTATTTTCCTTGAATGGCTTTTTTATTTTATGTAAGCCTCTACAACTCTTTTTTTACAACTTATATTACTGTTCTACTTTAACAGTAATAATCTACACCCTATTCTACAATAATGGGAGGAAAAATATACAAGAAAAATTGCTTACACATTCTGGCTGCAACTTCAAGATTGTAAAAAAAATTTCCAATTGCCCTTCTCTCTATGTTAACAAATTCTCCATATTCCCCATTTCTTTGTGCCAGTAACAAATGATCTCATCTTTGACTACGCTCAGGCAAACACTTCACTTACTGTTTTATAAAATGTCTTTTACATTAAAAATGTAAAAATAACATAAATGTACTAATTTATAGAATTAGCCAAACATGGTGCAAATGCCATCTCTGGGTGGACCCAGTTCCTGAGTAAGCTGCTTTTGAGACTAGATTACGACTTTGTTGCCTATAAGTTTTTGCACGCTGATTTTGAGTCACCAAGAAAATACTTTCATAATTCTTTAAGTGATTGCTTCACACTTCAGCTTTCAGACAAAATTTTCTAAGAGATCCATTTATACTCTTGTGCTAGGAGGTATTAATAGCATTGATCAATCAAAGCTGGTAAAAGCAAAAGGTGGTATGAAATATCCTTCAGTCTGGCGAAGTGAGGGACTTCCTAAGTGCTTATTTTTTAATGACAGGTGATGTAAGAAGGCATGACTTCTTGTCATCCAGCAAGACAAGCCTGAACGCAACCAAGGGAATCACCCAGACTTTAACTACCAATGCAGTAACTGCAGTAATGACTTGCTACAGCCAATACGTGTCTGAAAACATTCAAAGGACTACAGAGCACAGAGACTATGAGCAGACAGCAGGAACAGAAACAGTTCGTATCACACAAGGGAACAAGTGAAGAGTTTTGGCACTGAAGAATGCAGTCCGCCCAGCGAGGTGCAGGGCTGGCATGGCAGAATACTTGCATGTGAACAGGCACCACCTGGAAGTCCCCACACCTACAAACTCTGCCCTAGGCTCCCTACCTTCTCATCTGACTTGAAGGAGGTCAGGGGAAGAGTTCATGAGCAGCAAAAGTAATGAGATCTGATTTCTTACAAAATTATGTGCTTTGTCCCTTAATCTTCTGCTGTCCATCTTCTCCATAACACATCCACTGGGCAAGGCTGAGGTTACTCATGTTCTAATCAGCCAGCACGCTACGAACAAAACACTTGGCTGGCTGGTTGCTACAGAACATCATCTGTGGCTCATATGCCTGCCTTTACCTCAGCAAGGGCATTAATTTTGCTTTGCCTTCCATTCAGCTTCCTCAGGTTTTACAAAACTTGTAGGAGCTTAATTATTTCCAAGACCACAACCCTCTGTAAAAAATGATTCAAATTTGCTATCAAGTTCAAAAATTACTTTGGAAAGAGGAAGAAGATGAGGACCAACAGATAAGAGACTGTGTGCTGTAAGTTTTTTTTTTTTTTTTCTTTAGAAATAGAGTTTGATCTTGTAAGGGCAAACTGCAATACTATACCCTTAAATCCTGCAGAAAGCTACAACTCATCAGCTGAAAATAAAAGTAAGAATTAAAACTTGCTTGTATTGTTCAATCGCAAGGTGACAACAATCCCTAATACAATCTGAAAAACAAATGTAATCCCAGAATGTAGCAGTTGAGGAACATCCAAAAGATATGAAGACTATTAATGCCATTGTAAAGGGTCCTGGTGAAACGTCCTTAGAAATAGTGTCAAACCTATTTAAGAAAAACAAGCTCAGACTGGAACACAGGCAAATGAAGCATACTAAGATGGTATGAGAAATGAAGAAGCTGCAGGCCGAGACTAGGGGAACTAAACTTGTCTAGCCTAGCAAAATAAAGTCTAAGAGAAAATAATTTAACTCGAAACTGGATGCAAAATCTAAGGAGGAAAAGTAGCCACTGAAAATAAGGTAAAGGACCAGTGTTGGTGCAAGAACAACAGACAAACTATTCACACAAATTAAGGTTAGATATTAAATCAGATGGTTTCTAGTCTTTAGAAGTGTCAGAGCAGTCTTCCTATGAGTACAGCTGAGCTACAAACTCAGTATTTGCCCATCTCAAAGAAGAAAGGCAAAAGGCACCTCCAACCTCTAGACCATTCATAGTCCTTTAGCTTCTAATACGAGATTCCAGCACCATTCCTTACTGCTGGCTTGCAGTACATGTTCTGCTTTTTTGTTCTTTGATTTACCTGTCCCCATAGAAAGCTCCACTGGTAACTAAGTCTAAGCTACTTAAGCTCCTTTTTTGGAGCTTCATAATCCTTGCAGATGCATACTCTTTGAGGGCAAATCATCCCATTTATCTTCACTACTGAAATATCTTCCCTTCTTGCTGTTCAGTGGAACAGAGTGATCTCATTTAGGAATTCTATTTCTTACTCCACCGACTTCTTGCTTAAAATACTCAGCTCTGTGTGAAAACTCACTGTCTTCGCTCCGTATCACCCATGGTGGGGATACTTTTACTCCCTTTCACATATTGCTGTTTGCACCTTCTGCTCATCAAATTCAACTTTTTAATAGTCATTATTTCAGTTAAAAAGAAGATATTTAATCCTTTCTGGAAATGCCTTTATACATAGTATTCCATAAAGAAAAGAAATTGCATTAAGTCTTTAGCCAGAATGCTCTTTCATTTTCACCTAATCAAATGATTCATTTTCTATCCTCTCAAAGTTATGCAGTGAAACAAGAAAAGCCAATGCTATTCGTAAATCATTATTGTGCAGACTGCATGTACTTATCTGTAGTTACTGCTTGAAAGTTTCAGTAAGTAAAATGCATATGGACAATCATCTCAAAGAAAAAAAATGTATTAATGCCACACTGTTATTCTTTAAGATACACCCCACATATATTCCATGACCTTCCTCGTTATTACAGGTTTCTCACATAGCTGAGCTCTGAGTTGATAAAATAACTCTTGGCTATGTCAACTCTGTTGTTGCGACAGCTGATTACTTCTGTTGGACTGTCCTTGCAAGTATCATTTTTGCAAGGCTTCAAAGGACACAAACACAGCTTCCTAATCTCAGCTAGCGTACAACATGCAACCATTCCTTCCTACATGAAACCTGAGCCCATTTTTGTTAACTGGTAGGTATTTTGGTGGACCCAGGTAATGAAACTAGGGGTGATTTACAGCTGAGAAGGGAAATTGGGGAAAAGAGTTCTTATCTGCCCAGTGGGACAAAGGAGGAGACAGACAGGTGGGGGTGGAGTAGTAGCACCTTTGTAACCTAAAAATGTATCCAGAGTGATAGCTCACTCACATTATGGATCTAGAATACAGCTGGGGAAATAATACTACTTTCCATTCCATGCTTGGGGTGCTTATTTGCATGTTTATAGCATTGTGCTGTCCTCAGTACATGAGAGGACTTTATTCACTGGCACCACCCATCCATACTTCCTTTACTTCTTTCAAGAAACACTAGTCTCACATTGTATTTTCTTGAACAAAAACCATTTCCAGCATCCTCTGTCACACTGCCTTGAGAACTAAAAGCGATCAATGTTACCCTTATTAATTGAAGTTGTTTTCTTGTAATGGCTGAAAGCTAGGGAAAGGTTTAAGCTGTACTGGCTGAAATTCAAGTGAAAAAAGAAAACCGTGGTCTTCATTTAAACTCTTGTAGAAGGTAACTCTAACCAACCACGTTATTTAATTCCACATCAAAATCCTTCCGCTCCTCTCACCTTGTAAGGAGCGACGCCCTACCCCCCCAGCCCAGCCCCACCGGCCGCCCAGGCCGCCGCCCTGCTCCGGAGCAGCGCTGGCCCCCAGCCCCCCTTTTCCAGTCAGAAGCGTGCGCTTTGCAC